CATGGCGCAGCCGGTAGGATAAATAGTCAAATAACGAATCTACATTGCGGTGAGTGTAGTACAGTGAGCAATGATGGGTGAACAGCGAGGAATAGCACCCATGAGAATGGAAGGAAATTTGGCGGAAAATTGGGCCACGTGGCGAAGTCGTTTCAACAATTATCTTACAGCCTCTGAAGTGTCCAAGAAGGATCAAACAATTCAGTGTGCACAACTGCTACACTACCTTGGAGAAGAGGGTTTCAAAATATACACTACATTCCAGTTCGCTGATGGTGAAGCTGGTAAACTCTCAGTTTTAATGGAAAAATTCGAAGCTCATTTCGTACCAAAGGAAAACTTGTCATACGAGCGCTATAAATTCTTCTCGTACAGGCAGCAAGGAAACCAGGCTTTTGAACAGTTCGTCACAGAATTGAAGAAGCAGGCTCAGAAATGTGCATTCGACACTCTCGAGGACTCTCTAATCAAATCCATGATAATCTGCGGGGTGACTAACTCGACGATGAGGGAACGACTCCTCCAGGACGACTCTCTCTCATTACAAAAGGCTATAGATCTGTGTTTGGCCATCGAAACATCAAAGCAGCACACAGTGGCTATAGAAAACAAGGAGATTCCGCTGGATGTCATCCGTAAGTCAAAGGACAAGAAAGTGAAGCAAGGTCAGATCTCGAACTGCAGTAAGTGTGGTAGAAATCATTCTATAAATAAGTGCCCAGCTTTCGGCAAATTTTGTAATTTCTGCAAAAACAAAGACCATTTTGCGTCAGTGTGTCGAAAGAAGCTTGCATGTGTAAACTTACCAAAACAAAAGGCCGTTAACGCAATTGATAAAAGCATAGAAAATGATAGAAACTGTTTGTTTGTAGGCACACTCACACAACAGAATAATTCTAAGGACGGATGGTTTACAAAATTAAAATTAAAAGACAAGTTTATTAATTTCAAAGTTGATACGGGCGCAATGGCTAACGTCCTTCCTTTAGATTTATTCAAATTATTGAAAATGCCAATGACAGAAATACGAAAGACAAGTGTTAAATTAAAGTCTTATACAGGAAATTACCTAAATGTATTAGGCATTTGTAGGTTAAAGTGCAACAAAAATAATGTCAATTACTTAATAGATTTTTTTATTGTTAGTTCAGGTGAGCAGGCTATTTTGGGTTTGCAAACGTGCGAAAAGCTGGAATTAATTAAGCGTATCAATTTCTTAAATTCAAATGAAATTACTTCCACGAATTACAGAGAATTTTTGGGACCATTCGAGACAGTATTCTCAGGAATAGGGTGTATTCACGGGGAACACCACATCCAGCTATTGCCTGACGCCAAACCAGTCGTACATGCGACAAGGCGAGTTCCATTGCCAATATTAAATCAGTTAAAAGAAAGTCTAGATGAATTAATTGCACATAACGTTATTGAGAAAGTTGACGGTCCCTCAGATTGGGTAAATGCACTAGTGGTAGTACGGAAACCAGATGGAAAATTACGTATCTGTTTAGATCCACAAGACCTGAATCGTGCCATAAAGCGGGAATATTGTGCGATACCAACTTTAGAGCATATAACAAGTAAATTAGCAGGTGCTACCGTATTCAGTAGTCTAGACGCAACAAACGGGTTTTATCAAATACAACTAGACAAAATGAGTTCGGATTTGTGTACATTCGGAACTCCGTTTGGAAGGTACAAATTTCTTCGACTTCCATATGGAATTAAATCAGCACCAATAGTGTTTCAGACAAAATTCAAATCAATTTTTAATTTAGAAGGAGTAGAAGTGTATATCGATGATATAATCCTTTGGGGTCGAAACAGAGCAGAACACGATGCACGATTGCAAGCGGTGTTACAAATTGCAAAAGAAAACAATGTCAAGTTCAATCAAAATAAATGCAAATTTGGGGTAGCAAAACTCAAATACATGGGACATTACATTTCCGGGAGAGGTATTGAACCCGATAATTCTAAAATCGAGGCAGTTTTGAACATGCCGCAGCCAACTTCAAAGCAGGACGTACAGCGTTTGTTAGGTATGTTAACATACGTTAGTAAATTCATTCCAGAATTTTCAACAAAAACCTCACCCTTGCGAGACTTAATTAAAAAAGAAGTAAATTTCGAGTGGACAAGTCACCAGGAAAAAGCATTTACAGAGATTAAAAAAATTTTAACGTCAAAACCAGTTTTACAGTTTTATGATGTAAATAAAGAAGTTACAGTTTCAGTAGACAGTTCTAAAAACGGACTGGGGGCGGTAATTTTACAAAACAGTCTTCCGTGTGCATATGCTTCCAAAACAATGACCGAGACTCAGCAAAGATACGCACAAATAGAGAAGGAGCTCCTGGCAATCTGTTTTGGTCTAACAAAATTTCATGACTACGTTTATGGCAAAAAGGTAACTGTCGAAACGGACCATCAACCTCTTATCTCTATCTTTAAAAAGCCATTAAATAAATGCCCAGCGAGATTACAGAGAATGTTATTACAGTTACAAAAATATGAAATTAATTTAGTCTACAAACCAGGCAAATATTTGCTCTTAGCGGACGCGCTATCTCGAGCGACGTATACTGACAATACACAAAAAGATGAAATAGAGGAGGAAATTGACGCTCATGTGTTTCTAATACAAACTCAAATTAATGCTACTCCAGAAAAAATTAATCAAATTAAAGAAGCCACTCAAAATGACCCAGAAATGCTGGAACTAAAACACGCGATAACAGAAGGATTTCCGAAAAATCTTAAACGTGCAAGTCATACAATCAAACAGTACGCCAAATACAAACACGAATTAACTGTTATTGACGATTTAATTTACAAAGGTCAGTCTCTCGTTATTCCATATAAAATGCGCAAAGACATGATAGAGAGAATCCATTACAGTCATTTAGGCGTGAATAAATGTTTAAAACTGGCGAAAGATTCAGTCTTTTGGCCTACGATGACCAACGAAATTACTCAGCGTGTTCTTAGTTGCCATACATGTTTACATTTCTCTAAATCCAGAGTAATGAGCCTCTCAAAAGTCATGAAATACCAATACTACCTTGGAATAAAGTGGGCTCAGATATTTTCGAGTATAATGGAAACAAGTATCTTCTTCTAATTGATTACTATTCAAAATACATCGAAATCGAAAATCTCAGTCAAAATATGACTAGTCATAACATCATAAACAAAATGAAATCTGTGTTTTCACGACATGGAATTCCAGTAACATTAGTAACAGACGGAGGAACACAGTATACATCCAAAGAATTTGATCATTTTTGCAAAGAATGGGAGTTTGCACATATTGTTTCTTCACCAACTCATGCTAAATCAAATGGAATGTCTGAAAGAAATGTTCAAACAGCCAAAAACATCTTTAAAAAAAATTTGCATGATAAAAAAGAGATATATATGGCACTCTTGCAATATCGAAGCACGCCCATTTTTGAGAATGTCTCGCCAGCCGAAATCTTGATGTCACGTAAATTACGCACATTAATTCCAACGACAGTAAAAAAACACACACCTAAAGTAGCCTCACAATATAATTCATCAACAATAAAGCAAAAGCAGGCAGTTCAAGCTGAATATTTTAATAAATATAAAACCAAAAAACTAGGTGATCTTCCTGTAAACTGTAATGTGTATGTACAAACGAAACCAAATTCTACATGGACACCTGGAATAGTCATAAGTCATAAGTAAAGTTAGAGATAGGACGTACAAAATTAGGTTGGACAATGGCGCATGTTTGATCAGAAACCGAAAATTTATCAAATGCAATGAGTACATGCAAAACCGTTCATTACCCAACCTAACTTATAATAAAATTCTTTGTGAAAGGAAAGAGGAAAGAGAAGAACCTCTAAGATGTTATATAGAATTAGACAGTGCTAGTGAATGTGAAACAAGTGAAACACCAACTGTGTTAGAACCAGAACAACATGAACGATACAAAACCAGAAGCGGCCGACCTATAGTCCAGCCGGAGCGGCTTAATCTTTAAGTTTTAATTTTCTTTACGTTAAGAGAAATATGTTTTTTCTTTTTTATTTTTAAGGGGAAAGATGTTAGGTAAATAAGGTAGGCAACCAACCAACCATACATGTGACTGCCAACCTTATGGAACGAACAATACAGTTAGATATAACCGTCGTGGCGTCTGAATTACACAAGATCCTGATCCTTGCAAAGAGACCAAACACATTATAACAGTACCTAATGCTTACATTTCAGATTTAAATTCCGTATAAGGCGTCCAAAATTAAAACATGGGGCAATACCAACAATATTTCCCAATTCTCCTGGTTATTTGACAACAACAGTATCGAAAAGGAGGATATTCGAAAGACATGAAATTCCATCGGAAAGGGCAAAAATGGGGCAGCTTGAAAATTTGGAACCTGTAGATAAAACAGTCGAAGACCTAGACGTAATTAAAAACTATTTTAAGGATTTATTGGATGGAAATATACCATTTCGATTGCCTTCTTTTTGTGAGGGTGACACTAAAAATGTAATGTTTTCAAAAACAGTAAAGTTATCAAAACACAAAAGCCAAACGTGCAACATGTTTTAGTGAATGAAAATTTTCAGTTACATTTTTTTGTAAATCGGGTGGAAGTGAATATCGAATGTAGCTTTGAACAGATTCAAAGGAATGTGAATTTGTTTGAGGACACCTTGAAGAAATTTATGTCATCAGACAACACTTGAATGTGGACTAGCTTTTCACTTATATTGTTATAATATTTGTCAATTTTTGTAAGAAAACTAATAATATATAAATATACATATAACATACAAATATACTGATAATTATTTACTGGACATTATTATAAACAGTAAAACATAATTGGAAATTATTGAAAAGTAGGGGAAATCAACGGAAATAAACCGCAAAATTAACAAATTTTAAGGAACAAAAATTTTCGTAACACATTCACATTAATAAATGCAGTTTATCTCCTGATCAGTTTTCTTTTACTTACTGCGTTTGCGTCCGTTAGCGAAGTAACTGTAATATCTTGCAGCTCTTTAACAAGAGTGGATCCTGTAAATATTAATAAAATCAACTAAAAATGTTTTATTATAAAAGCAATATATATCCGCATCGAGTATATAACGAGATATTTAAACAGTAATACATTTATAGATAGACAGAATAAAAATATTGTTGCATCTTTACTACCCTAAAATCGCGCGTATAGTCCGCGGACCATACGTTGTTTTCCCTGACGCCGCACAGTGGGACAGAATCGTATCCTACGCGGCCAAAAATCCAAATTTTAATTTTTTTAGTAGGCTTTGGTGATTTAGCATAATACATTTGTCAATGTCTAAATAAGCTCAAACCGCTGTTTGTTGATAATATGGAAGACTAGTTTTGCTATGAACTAAGTTGTAAGTTGTAAGTTTGCAAGAACCTAGAAAGTGTGTATTCTAGATCATTTGTTTTTTAAGAATTTCTTTATCCTGTGGTAAATATCGTCGATTTCCCGAGATGAGTGTTAGACAGGAAGGTTAGTATGATTGTTTCGCAATTCTTGTAACATCATATTGATAACACATAAAGTTTTAACGATTGTCAAAGTAATGTAACTTTTTATTTCATATTTCAATTTTTAGGAGAACAGAGTTAAAGAATTACTTCAAGTTACCTAACCAAAATCGCATAACTTTGTAAAGGCATTATTTCTTTATACTTCTCCATTAATATTATATTCCCATCTGTTCAGCCGTGAGTGCAGCACTTTTTTTCTCTCTTAAAGGTTCCCGTAGTACTACATACCATGAAATGTTTAATCTTCTTCTGGTGCACGTTGGTTGTGGTAAACCTTTGAAGGCATCATCAGCCCCAAATAGAAGATTTTTACAAGAATTTTTGAGAGAAAGGTTCGGTTTACAAATTTTCCGCAAATATGAGGACGAAATAAATAAAAAAATATTTAATTTTGTTAACGTACTTAATAGAAAATGGAAAACGGCACATGGCTGCAAAACAAAATTTCTAGCTAAGAATTCTGGTTGGTTGAAAAATGTTTACAAGGTTCCACAAATTAAAAAAAAAAGTATCGGCAGACCAAAAAAACTGTTTTCAGATTCGAGCAATCGAACACAACGGAGATTGGCCCACGAACTCAGTGAACGATTTTCAGAAAATGAACTTATTCGCGCCACACAACATACTTTATGGAATAAAGGCAAGCATGCAGCTGCAGACATTGTAAAAATCATACAAACTTCTCCAAATCGGGCCGTTCGCGTAAGAAACGCATATCGCAAATCTTTAGTAGACACTTCAACGAAAAAATACACTTCTGAAGAGGCAGTAGCATTTATAGTCGACAATAAACTCTCGAAACAAAATTATATAAATATAAGAAAAGGTGCTGTACAACGAGGAGTCAAATTATACCCAGCATACTCAAAAGTATTAACTGCAAAAAAATTATGTTATCCAGAAAATATATTAGTGCAAGAAATAGGAGCTTCAGTGCCTCTTCAAGATCTGCTGGACCACACCGCTTACCGACTTTTAAGTACAATAAAATTAATACCTTATATTGAAGAGTCTCTACATGAAAATTATTCTGCTGAATGCATTATAAAATGGGGATGTGATGGAAGTTCCAACAATAGTGAGTATCAGCAAAAATTTTCTGCTGAATACAGTGACACTGACGTTTCTGATGCAAATTGCTTCTTATTTTCGATTGTTCCTCTACAATTGGTAATAATTAAAGAAGAAAACAAAAAATTGACAATTTGGCAAAATAACAGACCAGCGTCGACCGTTTATTGTAGACCTATAAAATTTATGTATAAGCGCGAGACAACAGAAATTACAAAAGCAGAAGTTGATTCTTTAGAAAGAGAAATTTCTGAGTTGAAAACTTTTGAAAGTGTTTTTGGTACAAAAAAATTACTTATAAACTATAAATTACTATGTACTATGGAGGATGGCAAAGTTATAAATGCTTTGACCAACTCTTCTACCCAAAGTTGCTACTTGTGTAAATGTAATCCAAAACAGATGAATGTTTTAGACGCTATGAATGATTTCGAATTAATACATGAAAACTTAAGATTTGGTCTCTCAACACTACACGCGTGGATAAGATTTTTGGAATTTGTGCTTCATGTTTCCTACAAATTAGATATTGGCAAGTCCACAGTAAGAGGTTTAACAGAAATACAAAAGACACAAATCCAAGAAAGAAAAAAGAACATCCAAAAACGACTTTGGCTTGAAGTTGGTGTAAAAGTAGACCGAGTGATACAGGGAAAGGGAACGTCAAACACTGGTAATGTTGCCAGAAAGTTTTTCCAACATTTTGAAAAAGTGTCTGAAATTACTGGTTTTAACAAAAGTATTTTGGAAAGATTTTATGTTATTTTGACTGTCATAGCAAGTGGAAAAGTTATCGAAGAAGACAAATTTAAAAAATTTGCAGCAGACACAGCAAAATTGTATGTCGATTCATATAAATGGTACCCTATGACCCCCACAGTACATAAGGTGCTTGTGCATGGCCCCATTATAATTAAATATTCATTACTTCCTGTGGGCATGCTATCCGAAGAAGCCCAAGAGTCCCGTAACAAAGATTATGTGTACCTTAGGGAGCACCATACGCGAAAAACCGCTCGAATGGACACTAATGCAGACTTGATGAATGCTTTATTAGTGTCATCGGATCCTATAATTGCTTCCAAAAGAAATATTAAACAAAAGAGCCGCAATCCTCTTTCTTCAACCGCCAAATATTTAATAGCTTCATCCGATGACAGTGAAAGCGATGACATCGAAAGCGAATCAGATACTGAAGAAGAGTTGGGAGATGAAGATGAAGACCAAGAAAACTTTAGTGAAAGTTCAGAATGTTAAACTTTTACATGTTATTGCAGTAAATTACTTTGTTAATTAAAAACTTGTTGATCAGAAAAATGATGATTTGCTCTTAAAAAAATATTGCATATATTAGATTGACTTTAAAAAATAACAACGTAGCCATTTTCATTTAAAATACATTTTTTGAGATGTTAGCCCTATTGAGTATCTTGTTTAATAAAAAACCTAAATTAAAAAAAATAATAAGAAGGCGAGTACATAGCTTCGCGGTTGTAAGATTAATTCGTAAATATATCCTCGAAATACCAGTTAGGTATACGTTATTATCATAGCTACTAATAGTGGCTATGATTTTTAGAAAATACCTGCCATCTTGAATTTTGGTAAAATAATATCGGATTCCATATCAGCGCATCTAAAAAGCCCCACACGCAAATTTTCATCCTGATACAATTGCAACTTATTTTTGGCCGCCTAGAATACGATTCTGTCCCACTGTGGCGCCGGGTGCGGACTATATGCGAGGGCGGACTATAGGCGAGGGCGGACTATACGCATACGCTGTAGGAAAACCAACAAAAAATTTAAACGCAAAATAAAAAATTTATTGGGCATTCTCAATATAAATGAAAAATAAAATATATAACAAAAATAAAAAGATTCTCAAAAGTACCTAGATACTTAAATTTAGGTACCTAAATAGCAAATATCGAACCTTATCGAACCATACAGACACGCACATTGTCCGCGGATTATACGCGAGGTTGCGGACTATCTGATTTTTAGGAGGGAGATTTAAAAACTGCGGACTATGCGCGGGGGCGGACTATACGCGCGATTTTAGGGTAATCAATTGTTATGCTTAAAAGCATAATTAATTCATATTCCAAATAATAAATTTCATTTGCTTATTCTCAGATATCACTTTGTAAGTATACCTCTATTTAGTGTCTTGTAATTTCTAAAATGTTATTATGTTATTAATAATTTCAAAGATGCACAATTACTGCAAGATGATTTAAACCGACTTAATTTGTGGTGTTCTTCCAATAAACTATACTTGAATGTGAATAAATATAAACTATTTAGTAGCGTTTACACGTAAAACCTATGGTACAATTATGATTATAAATTTGGTAATGTTCATTTATTGTAAGTTAACGTTTGTGTATCATACTAATCATGTAATAGAACGGACATTTTCATTATTATTAGGCTTTATACTAAGACAAGGCAAGTCGTTTAATAATATTCCAACAATTAAGATTTTGTTTAATTGTAATGTTTGATAACAAAACTACCACTTTAATAAAAGAACTTTAATAAAGCAACTGCCACTTCACAACGCAAGTAATCTTAAGCTACTGATGTCGCGTTTCCCAATCGACGGTTGGTCCGTTTTCCCCCTCTGGCGTTTTGCTTATCCTTGCTGACTCAGGGTGTTCTACACTCGACGTCTCAGCAATGAGATCACTCGCCGACACGGCCCTCCTGACCTAGGCGGACGCCGCTCATTTTGGGGGACCCTGGAACAAGAAGCAGACAAAGCAAGGGATCCGGACAACCGTAGTTTTGGGTCTGATTTGTTATGACATGCCGGCTTCCCGAGCAGTCTTATCATGCCGGCTTCCCTGGCGATCGACATACCGGCTTCCCAGGCAGTCTTGTCATGCCGGCTTCCCAGGCATTTGACATGCCGGCTTCCCAGGCAGTCTTGTCATGCCGGCTTCCCAGGCATTTGACATGCCGGTTTCGCAGGCATTTGACATGCCGGTTTCCCAGGCATTTGACATGCCGGCTTCCCAGGCAGTCACCCACCCGTCAACCTCACTCAACCTTCCGAGTAGTGAACTCCTACTGGCACGCTTTGTCTGGGTGGCCAACCCTACAGGCAGTGGTCTTCACCACCTACCGGTGCCCTCCCAAGTAGTGTTCCACCTACCGGCAACTTTCTCTCCGGTAGCAAACAACATATCGGACAATTCTAACATTCGTCTAAGCGGTACCGCATGCAAATCGCCAGGCGCCAAACTAACTTAGTTTTCATCAACATTCAGTCAACTAATATTTACTTTCATGCACAAAAACTCTAAGATGACTAACAACAAAATAACAGGAAAGCTCAAACCCTTCATCACACATTCATTCCAAGTCCAAGACTCTCCAAGGCTTCATGTGCTCGGCAGCATAAACTCCCT